TGATTAGCTTTTGATGCCTTTTTAATTCTTGTTTTATGAGTCAAGTCTCTCTCTCTCTCTCACACACACACACACACACACACACCACTTTGGAAGGCTCCTTTTTTCATGGTTTTATGAAAGAGTCAGTTTCTCTCACACAAAACCTCCCTCCCTCCCTAAATTTTCAGCAATAATTTGCATCAGTTCAGTATGTCCCTGTTTCCTCTCATTGTATTTAAACAAGCTGATGAATCCACCTGTCCCTCTCGTGCCTGCCTTCCCACCTTAATTGGAGCCTTCCATCCTGTTTGCATCAGTTCCTTTTTTCATAGTTTTCAGTCTCTCTCTCTCTCTCTCTTTCTCTCTCTCTCTCTCTCACACACACACACACACACACACACACCTCTTCCCTCCCTAAATTTTCTACAATCTTACATTTAAACAAACTTGATGAATCCACTCATCCCTCTCTCACACCTTCCTTCCCGCCTTAATTGGACTTTCCCTCCTGCTTGCAATCACCTCCTGCGGAAGTAGTAATTCACAAGCCAGATTAACTGCCCCAGGCTGTTCTACAGCAGTAAACAATAAAGCAGCCTTATCTCCGATCTCTAAAAGATCTGCAAGGAAGGTAGCAGGGATGGGGATGGGGATGGGGGGTAGCGCTCCACTTGTGTGACCAGGGAGAGGTTCACCATCACTGTCCTAGAGGCACCTGAATCAAAAAATAAACTTGCTGCTACATATAATAGGTGAAATAGAGTTTTTATCCATTTTATTTTTCATTTTTCCTTCTCATCACCTACTTTTGATGTTTAACTTCCATTTTCATCTTTTGTTTAGGGGTACGATCTCCATGCCGTATAACAGCTATGACACATCTAAGTTCCATCCTGCAAATATGCAAAAGATATGATTATTCTTATTCTATACCATGGAGTTTAATGAGTAAGGGGTATAAGATGGGCTGCAGATTGAAGGATTCTTTAAAAGAGGAATTTACCTCTTTTGAAAAGAACTTTTTTTTGAAAGAGGACTTCATCTCTCATTTCTTCTCTCATCCTTCTAACAGAATTTGAATCACCTTTGCCCCCTACCAGTGTAGGCAACAGTTATAAACAAAAGGCCAGCTTTCCACAACACATTCTTAGACTTTTTGAATATTCATAGTGCAGATATTCCTTTACCTTGTTTTTATATGAAAGCTGGAAATCCAGGCCAGCTGGATGCACATGAGTGACATAACTAGAATTAGTCACTGATAGATAAGAAAAACAATACAATTTGTTCAAAAGGTATCTTACATAAATTAAACAAGTAGTTTGTTGCTTACATTGTGCCAGATGTGGTTGGCACGATAGGAATATCTTCTGCTTCTAAAGGAATGGACCACGGAATCTGAAACTGTGGAGCAAGTTCTCGCATTATGATATTTCTAAATGGAACAAAAATGAAACATGATTTATTTTTATTTATATCTGCTCTTACTTCTTAACTTGTGATAGCTCATGCAAGCCAGGGCAGAAAGCAGATATGTTTGTGTGTGCCAGGGGTGGTGGTCTTATTCCGCCCACAGCTACCATATGGCCCCCTGGAGGACCCTAGCAATTTTGAACGGGGCCACAGGCTGAAAAATGTGAGAAATTTCTAAAAGAGATCTGTTCATGTTGTATCACTGTTTGACAGAAGTCTCTAAGAAGAACTCCTAAAAGGGATATGGCCAAAACAAGGTTGAGATTGGATGGTCTAGAATATCCTATTATTACTATGTTGACTTCCTAGGAAGCAGTGATGCACTGTAAGTGTCAGAAATGTTAATTTCACAACGGAAAAAAAAAATCAAACTGCCTATACCATCTCTTTCACTGAAGATTTTCAAGAAGAGGGCTTCTTGAAAATGTTCTGAACTGTGCTAAACAACCACAGTACATCACTTCCACGTCTCTGCATTACAGTTTGCTGGAAAATGACATGAAATACTTTTTGTACAACAATCAAATGTATTAGTGGGATTTTTTTTTTGCCCACACTGTTTTTTTGTAAAAAAAAAAGAAACTGTACACAAGTAGGTGATATTTCAGAATACTGTTTAAAGTCACGTAGAGGACAATGCTGTAGAATCAATATATTGTAGTTTAATTTTGGGTAAATTCGTCAACAAAATGTGACTCTGGGTGATAAATATGTCCCATTGTAGAGCAAGAGAGTTAAAATTAACTGTAGCATCTTCAGTGAATAAAACAATTAGGTATAAATTTTGGCTGCCCACTTTTCAGACAAGCAAAAGAAAAAAACTTCAAGACATACCAAAGGTAATATAATACTCTCAAGTTCTTGTATTCTGCGGTTCTATAACATTTCTGCTTTATTTGCCTATGCTAACTATTCATCTTGTTTTCAAAAGCTGTTACGTATGCAAACATTTTTTCTAAAGAGACATAAACTGATCAGTTCTTTATCTGCTGAACTGACCTGCAACACACATCTCTTCAGTGTCTCAGTTTCCTTCTAATATAAGGTATCACTGCCTTGAGCGCAGTAGAAAACTCAATAAATGACAAAGGCACATGTGTAAGTTTGGAAGCTCCACAATGGAGCATAAAGGCTAGAGTGCCACAGCTTCCTTTGGAAATATGCTCCAGCTTCCATATTCAGGCTTCCCAGATTACTTGTCCATCAGTGTATCACCACTGTTCTTCACCCAGTAGTAGTGACGGGTGGAATACAAGTGTTTGCAGGGGAGAGGGAGAGATGTTAAAGCAGGCAAACAGAACAGTAGGGAGGAAGAAGAAAAAAGGAGGAAAAGAATATGTGGACATGTGTGCATGTGAATGTGAATGAGAGAACATGTAAGATCATAAACACCCCACCTGGTTCTCACTCTCTCTGTCTTGAGTATGAAAAAGAGAGAAATAGTGTGGGTTGGTAATCATCTTAAAACAAGACTGTTGCGTAATTCTCAGTCACATACACCAGCATGCAACCCCTGAAATAATGCAAATAAGCCTTCACAGGAACAAAGGTTTTGCATTCATGCCATAAAGGAAACTTTGTGGAAAAATCTGCTGGACTGTTTCATTAGTGAAGGCAACTAGAACAGGCATGCACATTCAAAATCTAATATGGATCAAATTTTGCATTTTATTGAATATATTCTCCAATGTATCTATCCCTCTGAATACTGTACAATATTTGGTTTAAAGAAATTGGCCTGATTGGCTACTCAGTGATAAATATCTCATTCTTTAAGTGTAGAAAACCTTACCCAAGGATTTTAGCACAATCATCATAATATTTCATTGAGTTCTTCACAAAGCTGAAGCCATTGACATCACAGACGTAGGACTGCCCATTTGCACGTAACAGATCAAAGCCACAAACTGTTTGCTGTCAAAATAAATTACAAACCCAGAATGTTTGCAAAGTTCATGTATACATTTTCAAACCTAAGATAATCTTTTGCAATAAACAAACACATACACATTAGTAGAAATATTAGAGTTCAGCAACTGAGGATCTGCTGTTTCATATCTGTTTAAATGTACAGAAAGATAGAACATGTAGACTTACTACAGAATTTTAATATATTGTCCTTGCACTTTATATTCATCTGATGCTTACCCATTGATTTATGTTTAAGTACCAAGATGCATTTATAAAACACACACATATATGTATATCACTGTAAAAAACTTTCAGTCATAAGAAGCATTTATAAAGCTTAAGTTGATTCTGAAAATTGTGGCACCTGTTTCTCATATTTATGTACCAGTAATAAAGACTCTGCTTATATATTTGTTCTTAATTCACTTCCCTTCTTAATCAAAGATCAGCAGAAAAATAATTATAAGACCATTCAACACTAGGAGTCATCTACTATGTCAAACCTGGGCAGTTTTCTTAGCTCTTATCTGATAAGTAACAGTTCTAGAGAGTAAATGATCAATTGCACCAACATGCAATGTTTTCATGTTACCTTAAAAGCCAGGCATACTTTCCAGGCTATCAGCTTCTCCCTCGCATTAAGGATCACTGGGTATCTGACTTCTTTTCCTTCACTGTCCCGTTCTACCTTTCCATCAAGAGCAGGAGATTTACGAGCTTCTGCATGTGCATAATCCGGGCCTACAGTATATACCTTTTTTTGGGGAAAAAAAAAAACAGAATGAAGAGTTTTTCTTCCTTTAAATACATGCCAGTCCCAATTTGAAGCTGATTACAGCTTCAAAGCTTTTATGTTTGTGTCCGATGATGAGATTAGAGACAAAGTGAAAGGCACAAGATGTCTTAAATTTATTGTTTATTTTAAAGCTGATAATGTATATTTCATATTATACCCACTGCTACTATCAGTTTGTTTCTCAGGGCTCCTAATTAGATGGATTACAAATTATTGGCTAGTATCCCCATAATATGCATCAGCTCCACAAGCCTAAAGGTATTTTAACTTGATTCCTCCACGCCTTAAAACTACAGCTGCTATCTGTTGTCCATATCACAAGGCAACCAGGTATGTTCTCTGGAAAACTATGAAGTAGTTGGTGAAATAGCGTGCAGGGGGAAAGAAGCTTTTAAAGAAAGCAAAGCAATGTATTTTTGCAGCATGAACTATGACAAAACGAAAAATGGCATAATTTGTTTGGATTGCATGATTCCTATCTTATTTGTAAAATGTTCAGATTATCCATTTTAAATGCATAATACCAGTCTTCAATTACGAAGCAGAAGTTTCTTGTGCTGAAATGTTATATTTTTGGTTGTGGAACAATAAACACAAGAACACTTTTTTTGTCAGAAACAGCTCAATACATAAACAATCCACATCATTAAGTTGAGCATGTGGACATTTCTCTCACAAGTAAAAGTCAAAATAAAAACCAGACTGCTGCATAATTAGACAGTAATATATACTGAAACAGATTTGGAATCACTGAGAGCAAAACAGACATGTTCACAAAACTATTCTATAGTTACTGGAGACAACCGATTCTGATATTTAGATCATGTTAATTAAGACATCTATAACTTTTTGAAGAACACCTATATAGATCCATTTCTCAATATACGAGATTTTTTCTGATTTAGTTAACAGGACTCAACAAGAATATTTTAAATACCAATGAAATGGATGTACCCTGTATATGACTAAATCTGGAATCAATCCACTTTCTTGGAAATAACTGCCAGTTAATTCAATGGACTGGTCTTTGGGATAAAGAGTATCAGGACTGGCATGTCTGAATAATTTCTTTTCAGGATAAGTGTATTTCTCCACTTACAGATTTGGAAAACAGCAAAGCAGCAATCCTATCTCCTTTTTGCATTGTAAAAATACTTATCTAGCTATATGGTAGTTATACTACTAATAATACTTGACAAAACATTTTTTTTAAAAAAAATCTTCTCTCTACAAAGTCTTTCCCCTGGAGAAACTATTTAAAATGTAAAAACAGCAATATTTCAGGTAGAGTAGCATCTAAAGCTGCTGAGTTTCTTAAATATTTTACTGTTCTACATAAAATATATAAATCCAGAATATCTAGTCATTATACCTTCACATCTGTGCCATCTGTAGGCATGAATTCCTCATAAATGTATGAACCTGTTTTCCTTACACTACTTTCAGGGGAATAAACACTGCTTCTGCTACCAATCTGAAACAGAAAACTTTGCATTAATATACAGTAAGTCACAGACATTGTGGCTGAAATTCTGTTTCTGCTACAAAAAATCTCAGTTCCTACCCCCAGGTCCCAGGGCTCCCATGGAATTTCTTTCATTGTGGGGAAGCCACTGGGGGCCAATGGAGAATGTCTTCATACAGAGCAGGATTTTAGCCAGTGCACATTTATCACTTAAAGTAAAACAGTAAAGGCTTTGCTAGGTGCATAAATACAGTAACAGAGTACTAAGCAGGAGATACACGTGGGTAAGCTAAAGGATAAATTTGACTGAAATAGTGTTTTAAATAACAATTAGTCTACTCAGAAAGACAACTGAATCATGTTATTTCCCCAATGCTCTCTTTCTTACTGTGACATTAATAAATAAATCTTTCACAAACAGATTGCACAGACAGACCACTCCAACAATTCTCTAATCAGTAACACTCAGTATTTAAATGTGTGCACTTTTAGAATTAGATGTAAAAGTTTGACTTAATCTACATAATATACATAAAGGCTGTAGGACTGGAAAAACCTCAGTAAGAGTTGGAATAGCCTTGCTGTTTCTCATCTCTGTATATGATTTTACATGCTTATTAATAATTTTTCAAGAGAAACTCCCACTTTGTGAACTGCAAGATAGTTTCTTTTAAACTGAGTACAGCGGTGCCTCAACTTACAAACGTCCCAACATATGACCATTTCGAGTTACGACCAGCTCCGGGTGCAAAACTTTGCTTCTACTTGTGACTGGAGCTTCGAGTTACAACCAGAAAAGGCAGGGAAAAAAGGCAGGGAATTCAAATTGTTAACTATTGGTGGCGAAGAGGCTGCTTCTTTGTAGCTCTTTCACCCCAGAAGTTAAGAGAGTGTGCAATCAGAGGAGGCTTTGGACTGCCTGGTAAGGTGCTGCTTTCTACTTTTTAAAAACTGTTCTGGGTGGGTTTTGCAGTGTGGTTTTGGGCTGAGTGGTGGGATTAGGTTTCTATGCTGTGATGGGTCTTGCAGTCTTTGCTTTTTGGTGGTTTTTTTCACCCATTTCCGCTCTTTCACCCCAGAAGTTAAGAGAGTGTGCAATCAGAGGAGGCTTTGGACTGCCTGGTAAGGTGCTGCTTTCTACTTTTTAAAAACTGTTCTGGGTGGGTTTTGCAGTGTGGTTTTGGGCTGAGTGGTGGGATTATGTTTCTATGCTGTGATGGGTCTTGCAGTCTTTGCTTTTTGGTGTTTTTTTTCACCCATTTCCACTGGGGTCTTGCAAGGTTTGTTTGCTTTTTGCTTTGCTTTTTTTGCATTTCCGAAGGGTCTTGCATGGTCTGTTTGCTTTTCTCTCCCCCCCACCTTCGGCCGGAACTGCTGAACAAAATCATTGTCTCATAATATAAAAATAAAGTGTTCTAGATACTCCCCAAAAATATATTTGGGGGAAGGTTCATAAGAAGAATCCATTAATTATGAGCTATGCTCTTCACTGCCCAGATACAGAGGCAGGAGTCTGTGATTCAGTCAACTTTTTAAACTATAACTCCCTCAATTATCTCCTTTAATTTGTTATACAGTCAAGCCGCCAAAACATAGGGACAAATTAAAGTACCAATCCAAAGATAGAAGATAGGAAAAAATATTCTATCTACAGTGGCTAAGAGTAAACAAGCAGAGATGTCAACATAGCTAAAGAATTAATGTTTTATGTAAGAAATGAAGAAAAAATGTATCAGCACTGTGAGGGCGAGTGTAGATTCCTTTTCTTCACCTTCTCAGAATGGACTTTCATAGTGAGTATCCAACATCCCATCCTCTGTGTGGTGCAAAGGAATGGACTTTCATAGTGAGTATCCAACATGTGGTGCAAATGAGGGATCCAATCATTGTGAGAAATACCCAAAATCCCAATAAATATTTAGTTGGCTATATGTGATCTGATTAAGCAGAAACAACACTTTGAAAATGTGTCTGCCAAAGGAAGCATCTAAAACTGAACTGAAATTTATAAATTTTATTATGCTGGATAGCTCACTGAGTTGATTACAGTACATGGTTGCAGAATCAGAGGTTGAGGGTTTGACTTCTCTCTGTGCTTCCCAGGAGAGACTGACCATGTAAGCATGGGCAAGTTGCACATTCCCAGCCCACCTCAAGAAGAAGAGAATGGTACACCATTTCTTAATCATCTATATCTAAAAAACCTGGAAAGGCTTGTCACTGTTGACTTGATGACATAAAATTATATGAATTACAAACACAGAGTAGTTTGAGTGCCCTATTCCTATTTCACTCCACCCACACCTATCTACCACCATATGGTGAGTGCAAACCCAATCTACATTGGTGCCTTGCTTAACGGGCGCTCCGTTTAGCGACGAAACCACATAGCGATGAAGATTTTGTGATCACAAAAGCGATCGCATTGCAATGTTTTAAATGGGTTTTTTTCGCTTCGTGATGATCAGTTCCCTGTTTCGCTTACTGATCATTGCAAAGTGATGATTTTTAACAGCTGATTGGTGGTTCCAAAATGGGCACCGTGTAAAAAAATGGCCGACCGCTGTGTTTCGGGACGGATTCCTCACATAAGAGGCAGCAAAAATGGCCGCCATATGGAGGATCTTCGCTTTAAGTTCAGTTTTTTGCCCATAGGAACGCATTAAACAGGTTTTAATGCATTTCTATGGGCTTTTTAAAATCACATAGACATGAAATCGCTTAGCAGTGATTTTTGCTGCACGGATTAATGTCACTATGCGAGGCACCACTGTATACAAATTACTTGTAATTCTCCAGACAATACAGTTTACAATATAAGGTTTACAACTGAATGAGTTAGCTTGCCGTCCTGTAAAACTATTTTCTTTTTTGTATTTTAGTACTGACAATCAAGTGCGAATGAAACAGGGTCGTTATTAATCAGTTCAGTCTAATCTCACTTTACGAAAGAGCCTCTGACTTCCTCCTCCAGCGGATGTTGGATAATAAATATAAACATTGTGGTCTTCAGCACTAACAGGCTTTTCCACAAATGGTTTTTGGAAAACTTCTCCATTCACTTCCACATGATCTTCTCCTTCAATCAAATTGCATTCTAGAAAAAAAAGAGTAAAGTTCAGACTTCAGGCTGGGGTCACAAGTTAAGGTACTAAAGTTCCATCATACTTTGGGGATGGGAATGAGTAATGGACAAACATTTAAGACCCTCACTCTTTAAAAGGCTGTATGATTTGCAATACTAATCATAAACAAACAAAAAAATTTGGTTTGGCTACTTCAAACAAAGAACAGTTATTTCAATTTAAGGGTTCACAATATTACACAGAAAATCGGTAATGATTTTGTAATTCCAACATTACACTGCACATGCAATCAGACTATTTGTATGAATAATTTTTTGAACAAATCAGCCACTGAAGTATCTTCAACAACCACTTCTTACAGGTCATTCCTTCCCTGTTGTTCACTTTTAAAGTATTCTGTTTTTTAAAAAAATCAAATATGGCATCCAAAGTCTATATGAATCTTCGTAGGCATCCTTTTCAGTCTCAAAAGACCATGGTAATGCACTCTGTATGGTGTCCTCTCCAAAGCGTGAAGCCTGGGTAGAATAATATGGAGGATATATTGTTACCCAAGCAGCAAATCCCCCCTCTCCACGTCGCTGAAATAGTCCAATGGAAAGGCAAGAGCCAATACAACTGGTTCCAGCGATGTCGCAGGAGTTGCCAGAACAACACGAACTGCCTCCAGGACTCCGGTTCTGGATTTTGCCTCGAGGTTTACTCCTGAAGCCTTTTCCATCAGTGGATATAGCCACAAGGCAGGGGAGGTTTCCCAGGCTGATGAGGCCCACGTACCCTACCTGGTCCCACATACCCGGTATGAATGAATGTATTCATAAATCTATTTGTATCGATGCAAATAGATGTATGAATAACCAATAATTAAAAACACTGATCTGATATGAACATGTTCCTATCCCCTTTGGCAATATTATTTTATATATTCTATGTTTATAGACAAACCCATTAACTTTTTGGTTGTTCTGGGTTTTTCGGGCTCTTTGGCCGTGTTCTGAAGGTTGTTCTTCCTGATGTTTCGCCTGTCTCTGTGGCCGGCATCTTCAGAGGACAGCAACCTTCAGAGCATGTTAGGCAAGAACATGAGAGAGGGCCTTTCCACTGGCCATTTCCAGATCTTAACTCTTCCCATCTTCCACCAACATACAAAGACCTTCCTATTCAGGCAAGACCTTCTGCAACTGATATGTATACATGCGGTACTTTTCTGTTCTTTTAGTCTAATTGGTCTAATTTAACAGATACATAGTTAACTGTATTCAGTGTTAGTTTGCTCTCTATTTAATATTTTTCAATATGCATTTTAATTGTCCTATTCATTATACTGTAAGTTAAAGTGGGTCCCATGTTGGGAGGAAGATAAGGTACAAATAAAATAAAATAACATTTTTTAAAAAAAGGCTAGAGTTATAATTTGAATTATTTAATTGCAGAAATGTATGGAAAATAAATCAGAAACTAAACATTTTTAAAAGCCCAATATCTATTTCCAGACAGGTTCCAATAAACCAATCAACATTTTTCTTTGAAAGAATTAACCATCTATTTGTTGACTAATTACAAATTTCAGCAACAGAGTATGAAAATTGTTTCATGTGCAAGCACATAGCACAGCCCAAAGTGCAATTTGTACAGTTATTCAAGAGAAAGTTATATTGCCTTCAATGGCATTTATTCTCTATTAAGTGGGAGCTTTTCAAATCTAAGAGACTCTATAGAAAAACTGTTAAATTCATGGGGAGAGGGAAGTGTTCCTGGTCTATTCTGCTGAAAAAATACAGAAACCTTTTCATGTACATGTTGAGATATATGACCTTCCACCTACAGGATGAAGTAGTTCATACCACTTGCTGAGATGTACAGATTTTAAGGTAACACTGCATCAAGCAAGCAAAATTACTATTGTGAACAATTGCTTAAAGCAGAGTCCTTTGAAAAATATTTATAATGGTTTTTACCTTGGGGATTGTTTGGATCACGATTCAGAACTGCATAACGAGGAAGTAAAATACCTTCAGCTTTAAGAATGCTGTAAACCTCTCTCCTGAAAGAACAACATTTTTTCCATTAAATGATTATAAAGCCACAGAATCGTGACATTTTAAAAATTCTTTCAATGATCATTTAATCAAAGACTTGCACTATTGCAAATAACAGGAAAACAGGACATACGACAAAATGCTGTCATGTACCCTCCCTTCTAAAAGAATTCTATCTGGCCATTCCCTTTAAACTGACACACCTCACCCTCTCTTATTCTGTTTTCCTTTTCCTCGTGTACCTGCTCAGTCCTTGGGCTATTTTCTGAGTTTGTTGCTTTTTAGCATTTTTAAGTTTTGTGTACTTCTAAAAATCTCAGAATTCCTCAAAGTATTTCACTTCTTCCCTATTATTTCCTCAGCAGTTCTATTTTGGCTATGATCCTGTTGGCACTCACTACTGAGCTCAGTATTAGAAATGATAATAATAATTGCTCAACATAACACTTTTCTGAAATTCTCAAAGTATTTGTGTATTGACTTCATTATCCTTACAACTGACATATAAGATTGGCCAACTTTTTGATTCTTAAGTTATAAAATGGGCCTGAGACAGAGGCTCTACTGTCTCTACTGCATCTACTGAGATCCTGGCAAGATGAAATTCAACTTGTTACTGTGTAATCCTGTGACTGCCTACTAAGAAGAGGTATTACAAGATACATTCCCAGATAAACATGTACAATATTTCAGGGCTCTGGATCTCCTGCTTCTCAAAGGGCCACAAGAGAAGAATAACTCTTTCTTAGCAAGCATGGATGCAGCACGACTGACAAGCGATATTCACTGAAGTAATTTCTTAGTATTATATTCAAGTACCACCAGTGACATGTTTAGATCATAATGATGTTATTGTCATCATGATAGGATATGTAGTCAAAAGTGTAGCATGATGATGGAATATGTAGTCAGAGAAATGTAAAATGGAGTCAGATAGGTTCTGTGTTGAGATGATTTGAAGGACTTTGGAATGTGTTTTTCTAAGCACCATGAGAGTGTTTTTCTGAGACCTTTATAGCCAAGATCCAGATACAGTATCTTGAAGGCCAAATGAAGAGGCCCTGTGAGACTCAACATTCCAAGCTTGTTACAGAAGAGATAAACAACACCTGGACTCTCATGGGAATAAGGAAACGAGAGAGGTGGCATAACCTTTAAAAAGTTAATTGGTTAACAGCCAGAAAAGCCATGAAGAAGGGAGGAGTTTGGGAAGGTAGAAAATGGACGATGGGTTATGAGAAAGTGAGCAATGGTGTGGTTTTCTGTTCCATGAAGGAGAGTGGATGTACAGTAAGTAAAGCAGAAAGGAGGTGGGGGCTAGCCCATCATAGCCTACCTTAGGTTAGCTTTTTAGTGTTTATTGTTTTAAATGGGAAATAGTTATCTTATTTAACTGCAATGATCTTTGAATATGTTCTTAATGCTGAGGCTTAAACTGATTTCTAATGAAATTTTATTTTTCTAATAAAAAATTAATTATTAAAATTTCTTACCAAAGGTCTGGTCTCTTGAACAGAAGGGTCTGGCTAAATCCAGGAATGGAGAGGGCCACATACTAGCTATCATTTATGAGTCCTACCTAACTGAGCTGTTGTGAGTTCTAAGGAATCACAAAGCCTATGTGCCTGTACTTGCAAAGTACTGAGTAAGTGCAAAGTGTTCTTTTCAGGTCAGACTTGTTCAAAGGGCTTATGCTACACACTGCTGAGGTCTAAGGACTTGCCCCAGCACAAAGGTGGTAGATAAGTGCCAGCCAAACTCTCTGGCCGAATGCCCAGTGGCCCTTTAGGGAGTCATAGTTATCATAGAAGGTATACATTTGTTTTACAAATGGATGTGATAGAAAACAAAGATTTAAGATTTTTTTATTTACTTCACCATCTTGATACTGGAACAAGATCAGGATATATGCTAATATTCTACCATAAGGAACTGTTTCAAATACGCACAAAGAAGAACAGAGATACACAGCATTTCTGTCAAAATAACAACAAAAACAGAGATCAATTTATTCATTTAAGACAACTTATGTTTCTCCAGAGTGTCTGTCTCTGATGGTTTATGCACTATTTGTCCATGGGACAACTTTCATGATGATAATTCCTGTGGGATCATATTATTACAACAGATGATTTATTGCATTGCACTCTGGATTTTTGCAAACTTTTAAAAAGTCCCATGCACTTCCCACCACACACTTTTCTTCTAATAAGTTGATCACTAGTTTCCTTGGATGCTATACTCTGAGAAATCAACCAAATTTTTAGGCAATTTTAGACTTTTAAAGTTACCCCTGTCCTATCCTGATCAATGATCAATACAAGAAAGAGATGAACTATATACTCCTTGGCAGGTATTCATTTGGATACACCAAATAAAAGAGATATTTGATCAAGTACAAGTAAATAAACAAATAAACAGTACTTCTCCCTGTGTTGCCCAAGTACACATTTCTCTTTTAAAAACTACAACCATTTGGTATCATACAATTGAAGTCAGTAATGATTTGACTGTGTTTTGGAGATACTGACAGAAGTGGACCCTTCCACAACAAATCACTAGTTCTGCATCACTGAGATCCCATAAAGTCAGGCTGAGAGGCCCACCAAGATACAGTGGTGCCTCGCATAATGAGCGCACCGTTTAGTGACGAATTCGCATAGCAATCTGTTTTTTGGGATCGCTAATGCGATCGCATACTGTTGGTTCCAATGGGCAAAATTCGCTTTGCGACGATTGGTAAGCGTTTCGCCTACCGATCTTCACATTGCGATGGCGGGAGAACAGCTGATCAGTGGTTCCAAAATGGCCGCCGGAAGACCCAAAATGGCCACGCGCAGCATTTTCACGCCCTGTCCTCGCTTACCAAGGGCGCGAAAATGCCTGTGCTATGGAGGAACATCGCTGAACGGTGAGTTTGGGGCCCATTGGAATACATTAAACGAAGTTTAATGGGTTTTTCTATTCCTTTTAGCGATGTTTCCGAATAGCGATGGTTAAACCGGAACGGATCAACCTCGCTATGCGGGGCACCACTGTATTTGTTCCTGTAAAGATGAAATGCAGTAAAGTCTTTACTGTAGGAGAGAATGCAAACAGATAAAAAAAGCAGATGAAAAAAAGGGAAAACAGGTCATATTGCTCCAAATAGTTTTGAAAGAAAGTAAACATATATCCCCCCTTCATGGACAGTTTCCTTCTCATGGTGAAGGGGCTTGAGTAATTCAGAGAAGCTATGGGCGATGCTGTGCAGGGCCACCCAAGAGAGATAGGTCATAGTGGAGAGTTCTGGCTAAATGTGATCCGCCTGGAGCAGGAACTGGAAAGAATACCCCATGATCAGAAACAAAAGGCTAAAAGATATGACGCTGGAAGATGGGACCCTCAGGTTGGAAAGCATCCAACATGCTACTGAGGAAGAGCAGAGGACAAGTACAAGTAGCTCCAGAGCTAATGAAGTGATTGGGCCAAAGCCGAAGGACGCTCAGCTGAGGATGTGCCTGGAAGTGAAAAGAAAGTCCAATGCTGCAAAGAAAAATACTAGATAGAAACCTGGAATGTAAGATATATGAACCTTGGTAAGCTGGATGTGGTCAAACAGGAGATAGCAAGAATAAACACTGACATCCTGTGCGTCAGTGAACTAAATGGACAAGAATGGGTGACTTCAATTCAGACAATTATCGTATTTAATACTGTGGGCAAGAATCCCATAAAAGAAACAGAGTAGCCCTTACAGTCAACAAAAGAGTGGGAAAAGCTGTACTGGTATACAATCTCAAAGATGACAGAATGATTTCAATATGAATCCAAGGCACATCTTGCAAAATCACAGTAATCCAAGTTTATGCACCAATCACCAATGCTGAAGAGGCTGAAATTGACCAATTCTATGAAGACTTCCAACACCTTCTGGATATGGCACCAAAGAAAGATGTTCTTCTCCTTATAGGGGACTTGAATGCTAATGTAGGGAGTTAAGAGATAAAAGGAACAACAGGTAAGTTTGGCCTTGGAGTTCAAAACGAAGCAAGGCAAAGGCTAATAGAGTTTTGTCAAGAGAAAAAGCTGGTCATCACAAACACTCTTTTCCAATAACACAAAAGGCGACTCTACACATGGACATCATCAGATGGGCAATACCGAAATCAGATTGATTATGTTCTCTGCAGCCAAAGATGGAGAAGCTCTATACAGTCAGCAAAAACAAGACCTGGAGCTGATTGTGGCTCTGATCATTAGCTTCATATAGAAAAATTCAAGCTTAAGAAAATAGGAAAAAACACTGGGCTACTCAGGTATAATTTAAACCAAATCCATTATGAGTACACAGTGGAAGTGAAGAACAGATTTAAGGAACTAGATTTGGTGGACAGAGTGCCTGAATAGAAGCTCATAACATTGTACGGGAGGCAGCAACAAAAACTATCCCAAAGAAAAGGAAATGCAAGAAAGCAAAGTGGCTGTCCAACACGGCCATACAAATAGAAGAGAAGAGAAGGGAAACAAAATGCAAGGGAGATGGGAAAGTTACCGAAAATTAAATGCAGACTTCTAAAGAATAGCAAGGAGATACAAGAGGACCTTTTTAAATGAACAGTGCAAGGATGTAGAGGAAAATAATAAAAAGGGAAAAACCAGAGATCTGTTCAAGAAAACTGGAGATATCGAAGGAACATTTTGTGCAAAGATGGACATGATAAAAGACAAAAATGGGAGGGACCTAAAAGAAGCAGAAGACATCAAGAAGAGGTGGCAGGAATACACAGAGGAATTATACCAGAAAAATTTGGATGTTCCAGACAACCCAGATAGTGTGGTTGCTGAGCTTGAGCCAGACATTCTGGAGAGTGAAGTCAAGTGGGCTTTAGAAAGCATGGCCAATAACAAGGCCAGTGGAGGTGATGGCATTCCAGTGGAACTATTTAAAATCTTGAAAGATGACGCTCTTAAAGTGCTACATTCAATATGCCAGCAAGTTTGGAAAACTCAGCAGTGGCCAAAGGATTGGAAAAGATCGGTCTACATCCCAATCCCAAAGAAGGGGAGCGCCAAAGAATTCTCCAACTACTGTACAATTGCACTCATTTCACATGCTAGCAAGGCTATGCTCAAAATCCTACAAGGTAGGCTTCAGCAGTATGTGGACTGAGAATTCACAGAAGTACAAGCTGGATTTCGAAGGGGCAGAGAAACTAGAGACCAAATTGCTAACATGCGCTGGATTATGGAGAAAGCCAGAGAGTTCCAGAAAAACATCTACTTCTGCTTCATTGACTGCCCAAAAGCCACAGGACCACAGCAAACTATGGCAAGTCCTTAAAGAAATGAGAGTGCCTGACCACCTCATCTACCTCCTGAGAAATCTATATGTGGGACAGGAAGCAACAGTTAGAACTGGATATGGAACTCCGGGAGGCAGTGGAAGACAGGAGGGCCTGGGGGGCTGTGGTCCATGGGGTCACGAAGAGTCGGACACAATTTAAGAACTAAACAACAACAGCAACACACATATATCCCTCTGCCAGCTGTTGCCTGGGTACTTTCAATTTTTTTCATTCAGTCATGGGGATGAAGGGGACTGGGGAGGACTTAGCCAAGCCATTTATTTTTTTTCCAAGCCAGTCCATTCCTCAAGTGGGTGGAGATTTCTCTTTAGATTTAAAAAATCTTCCATTCTTCTAAGTATCCTTTGACAATGCTGCTCCCCACTACCCATGCAAAAGAATGTCAAAACATTGTGCATACGCACACACATGGAAATAGTTGAGACTGCATATTTTCTCCCCGGCAATATACCTCAATCTCCCCCCTTCTTCTCTATTTCTCATTTTTTTCTGAGTGTGACTTTTCCTCTTTGTACCCACTTTTTCAGTGTTCCCTTTGTTTCCCTACTTCTGTTAACATCTCTTTCCCTCATTTCCTTTATTTTGTCTCTTTCTGTTCCTCATGAATGCCTACAAGCAAATGTGACAGAAAGTAGCAGACAGAGACTGAGAAGGAGAAAACACAGAAACACAAATGGAGTGGGATATGCTTCTAGTATTTTATGACCAGGCACCTCAGCCAATATCTGTTTGTAGCCGTAACACTTTCTTAAACATGTGGACCTACAATAGTATCATAATGTACAACCTATTTTCTAACCAGGAAATGTTCAGCAAAATAGGAACAGTTATTTGTACTTGATCAATGCCCGTAGTTATTTACATACCTGTCTTGTATATGATACTGCATATTCAAGTCATTAATAACAAATGGATTCCTGAGTTCTGCATAGGCAACTGCTTTGTCCAATGGAAACCCTACATAAAATACATTCAGGAATATTATTTCACAACCACTGTATTTAACCAGATTTTACATGGCAAGGAATGGATATGTATTAGTGTTCTCAGAACTGACCAATGCTAAAGAGGTTTTACAGATCGCTTTTAATTTTGTTTATCTAAAAACATGCTTTTACTCAGATTTCTTAAGTCTGACCTGTCCTCTTTGGGAAACTGCATTTTCTGCATTTACTTATACCCAAATGAATAACTAGTTCATCCAAATTACTGGACTACCAAATATTACAATACCACAATTAATAAATAAATCAGTATTTTGTCATTTGCCATTACAAACTTTTTGAACTAATGGGGAAATTATGGGTTACATAATGAGGCTGCAATCCTAAACACATTCAGTGGTAAGTTATAGTAACATATTTATGTATTGTCAAATCAGTTCTAACATATGGCAAACTGAGGTTTTCAAGGTGAAATGTAAGAAGTGGTTTACCAGTCCCTCCTTCTGGTGGTGGTCTGGTATTATGCAGTCGTCCCAAGGCTGCAGGGGTGGCAGGACGTGTAACACAATAAGCTACAGATGTTCCATGTGATCTCAGTTGGCTTTTCTCTTCGGAGGCACACTGGGGATTTCAACGCTCACCTTTTCTGTTCTTTTAGTATAATTGTATACTACATCCTTACCAGTAAGCATGGTCACATATTGCCATCTCATATAAATAAACAAGGACTGTTACAAAAGAAAGCTATGGGTTGTTGACGGATGATGTTTTCTTGGTTTTTTTTCTGTATTGCAATATAAAGTAAACTGATACTGATCTGTATCACTGTAATAGGTTTCTGTGCTTAGAATCCAAATACTTTTGTATGTATAAATGACTACTGTATTTTTCCATATATAAGATGCCCCCATGTATAAGACATCTCCCCTTTTCTAACCCAAAATTCTGTGCTTAGAATCCAAATTCTTTTGTATGTATAAACTACTGTATTTTTCCATGTATAAAATGCTCCCATGTATAAGACACCCCCCCACTTTTCTAATCCAAAATTAAGAAATCTAAGTGGGGCTTAGCACGTGTAGGGGGGAAGGGATCAAAGCACTGCAGGATTGCTTTGATCCCTGCTTTCTCCCTTCTTGCTAAGCCCCGCAGGGCTTAGCAAAAGGAGGGGGAAAGGGATCAAAACCATCCTGTGACGGCACAATCATTTTGATCCCTTTCCCCCTTATACATTCAAGGGATTGCTTTGATCCTTTCCCCCCTCCTTTTGCTAACCCCCATGGGACTTAGCATGCAGAGGGGAAAGCAGGGAGCAAAGCAATCCTGCAGCGCTTTGATCCCTGCTTTCCATTTGCTAAGGCTTAGCCAGTGGAGGGGAAAACAGAGATCAAAGCCCTGTAGGATCACTTTGATGCCTGCTTTCCCCTCCACTTGTTTTTTTTTCTCCTCAGCTTGCTTCCGTGTATAAGACAACTCTCAATTTTTAGTCTAAAGATTTTAGAGAAAAGCATAGTCTTACACACAGAAAAATTATATATATATGAAAGCTTTTACATAGTTGTGAATAAAAATCCATCACCTTTCGAATGAAAAGAAATGAGACAGTCGCATAAAGGCCAGTTTTCCACAGGTTCGTTCAAAATGACATCCTCTTCAAATATTACTACGGTAATATATTTAAACATGGAAAGACGTTCAAGAATTTCATTCATTGGTTTTGATTTGGATTTTTTTGCCATAGAACATATTCCAACTACGATCTGTCTTTCTGGTGGCTAATAATAGTGATAGATAAAATATAAAAGGTTAGTAAAGATTAACAATGACATATTTGAAAAAATGTTTTTACATGTTTTTCACTGCTCAGAATCCTTTTGGTGAATTTGTGTAAAGAAAATTTCATTAACTCTTGGCAGCACATTTTCTGCCCCTTTTTAATGTGATTCCAGCTTCATTCCTGAGTGCATACTCAGCTGCATAATTGGGAGAATGCTCTGGAACAAACCATCAGCTCACAAACAAGTAGTAATTTGTCACCAAGACTTAGCAGGATTTTCCTTACATAAGCATAAATCTGGCCATGTAAAAATTGTTGTGTTTCATGCAAATATTAAACAGATTGGCTTTCTCATATGCTTATAATACTTATGAAATGGAAAGTGCAACCTAAAGTTAATGTTTTATTTTCTATGAAAGGAACAATCTAAAGAAAAGATTAAAAATTTAAAAGCATCAATTTGCTTTAAAGCTCTATGTGAATAATAAGGATTTAGATGCAGGAACAAACAGCAATATAGAGATTTCAAAGGGTAGTAAATACTTGATGATTTTTTAAAAATGAAAACAAAAAGTGATCAACTACGTTGCATTGACATCCCTCCTATGAACAAAACAATGTATATTCAAAACTATAATTTCAAATTTGAAATAGCTTTCTCTATGGATTAAATGTGGAATATGAGGGTACAATATGAGGGTACATATTTTTGCTGTTTCATTTATTTCAGAGGCACTTAGGATACATGTAGCCTTAAGCAGGATGGTAACAATAGTTGCTGGATTGTGTTCTTCACAGTCTTGATTTAAGATGTCACTTGAAGCACATATATATGCAATCATATAAAAAAAGATTGTTTTTCCCAGCAAATATTACCCTAAAACCTTCATTTTCTATCCTGATTATGAATAATCTGATTTAATTCAAAACAACAAACTAGAATTTGCTATCAGATATATTTTATTTTAACTATCAACATTAGAATTTTAAGATACTACTTTCAGCAGAGGTTCAAAATCTCCTAACTGTGGTACTAATAATGCACAAAACATACAGTACATACAGAATCATACTCCTCATCTTCATCTTCTTGATCATAGAAAGCTTCAAATCCTGCAGATCTTGCTTGATCCAAAAGTTCTTCTCCATCTTCACCACCCACAAAAAACCTGGGAACATCACTTTCTGTTGCACTGACAGACATGATTATATATCCAAAAGTGATCTATGTAGAAACTGTAGTCACTCTGAGAACCGAGACATTGTACATAATTCCCAAGGGCTAGAGTAATAAAAATCTTTGCAGTTTGGCTCTGCTTACACAGTTGCTTGTTGCTCTGATAGTCAGCTGCCAAGTGCAGTTTAATTGATATCATCTGTCCATTGTTTTCAGTCCTCACATTTGCAAAAAAGAACCCTGGAGAATACCATTTCCCTGAGATACTGTGACGATTTCCACCCTAAAAAAAGAGAAAGAAGCTGAATGAACTCTATTAATTTTCTTATTAAAAATTAAACCTATTATAAAATATTACAAAGCACTGCATGGGAGAATGTGTACACAAGTGGAAAAGCCATTTAGCAGGCTGAACAGCAACCACATACTAATTCTGAGAAATATATATATAAAAAAAACCAAGTATCATTGGGGGATTGCAAGTAAAGGGGGAAAGCCATGCAGGAAGGTGTTTAGTGTTTTGTTTTGTTTTACATGGCCAAAGTGAAATATCTACATTCATCAGTAAAATTAAACTGGCAACACCGTGTCAGGTATTTCAAGATACCTAGCCTGCTCCAACATTTATTAATAAAATCAATATTCCAGGTTATCTAGCACTTTCTAATAATTACTGATAAAATTATGCAATTATAAAGAGAAAGGTCAAAATCTGGTTTTAAAAGGTAATCTGGCACTTGCATGTCCTGAAATATCAGGTTTTACCTAGCAAGCCTAGTTTCACTCTCCTAAGGGATTCCCTTTGTACTATAGCCACATCCTGCTTATGTAAATACCTTGCATTGTTATGTTATAGCAACATTAATTCCCTGGGCAACTCAGTAGTTTGTAGTAGAAGTTCTATTCTAGGACACCTCTTCTTAAAATTTCAGAATAGGGTGGAAGTAACATAAGATATGCTTGTTTAGTATGCCATAAGTATTGCAGAGGCATGAAACATATTCTAGGACTTTGCCAACTGATAAAAACACAATAAAATAGATATAAAGAATACTTTTTTTTAAAAAAAGGAAAGAACACAAGAAGTCAAAATACTTTGAGAAAGAGAGAGCAAACCTTAAAGCAGAACCTAATCCCCAAGAGAAGCTATTGCCCTTCAGAAGCAGACACATATTTCTACACAATGACTACATAAACTAAGAATGCTAAATGTTTCAGGCATGAACATAGTCATTACTATAGAACAACTGGCTCTGACAGCTCTTTGGTTGAATTATTTATAGATAAAGAAAGGTAACAGCGCTTTCTAGAGAACACTGATGAATGTTCTCATGTACGCAATGCTGAATATTTTTAAAAGGCAACTTTAAAGGTTCTGTGCATGTTCTTAACCTTACACAAAACAGTGGTATAGTTTTTCATTCAAGTCAAACATTTTGTAGATCAGGGCTTTACAGCACAATCCCTATTCATATTTCTTTGAAAGTCAGTCCCACTAGGCTCAGTGGAGATTATTCCTGGAGTGAATTGCAATTAAAAACTGCTGCTTACACTCTATTTTGCTTTCATCTTTTTAATAGTTCTTGCTCACACAGAAGCAAATTCACGCTTAAGTAATTTAATCACAGTAAGTTTAAAAAAGAACACTACTTACTTTTAAAATTATGGATTTTATTTGCCATTTTAAACATTAATTCATTGTCACATGCAATAATTACACAATTAATGGGTCGGAGACCACAAAATAAAGATTGACTGATTGAATAATTACACAAACATTTTACAGACACTGAAACACTTGCAAGGTTGAGCTGAGGAACATCTTGATACGCTATGCCATACAGAGTACACTGTACATTGACAAACTGAATCCCTAATTTCTGCCCAACTCACTGAGCTATCCAGCCAGCAAAACATACATACACGCAATCACATTCCAATTATCTTCACAACTGCAAATTCAATTTTCCATAGCCTAAGGGGAGAGCCAAACTAGGGACAAATCACATTAGTGGGTCACACATACAATTCAAATTAGCTTTTCAACAGGCACACACACACACAAAAATAAAGTAGCACTATCATGTTGTGGCACAAAATACTAGAAGAAAGAGGACTGTGGCTTTTTGTATCAAACAGTATGCCACTTTAATGACACACCTTTTACAGCAGTAACATCCAAATATATTTTTAACACCCAGAACACATACTGTTTTAAATTTAAGCACTTTCTCTATAAAATGAGGATATCTGAGGACATGAAATCATGTTTAATTACCCATCCTGTATTCCAGATAATACCATAATATTCCAAGCTTAATAACTTTAGAAATAAATGACTAGGCAGTTCTCCAGTTGCACATTTTACAAAAAAGGACCATACAATAAAAGATCTGGTGTTCTGGGCCTTGGACAGAGTTCCTGGGAACTATGAAAGGTCTTTACTAAAAAGGGAAATTGACTGGATCCTGAAATTGAACACCCTAGTACCTCATGGGTTAAACCAATAGTTCTTAACCTTTGTTACTTGGATGCTTTTGAACTACAACTCCCAGTTACCCCAGTCAGGACAGCTGGTGGTGAAGGCTTCTGGGAGTTGCAGTCCAAAACTCCTGAGTAACCCAAGGTTAAGAACCAGTGGGTTAAACGAAGAAATAGACTTTCTGCCTTTATTATGATAATACTGCTGGGCTGGTTATCTCACCACCCTGTACAGCTGTGTACAAATGCCTCCTCTCCTAATGCCTGCACTTTTGTACTCTTTCAATTAGTTTTGGAGCTGATATAGACCAAAGAAAGGTACAGAGAATATAAAGAAGCTCAGTGTGTTTGATATTTTATCATGCCTAATGAGCTTAGTATACAGTAAATGCATGTATTTATATATAGTTGAGAGTCCCAAGCCAGAGTGTGAGTGTGAGTGTGAGTGTGTGTGTGTTAAAAAGAAAATGTGAATGATTCAATATCTAATGTGTGGTTTAGTATTACACTCAGCTCCTGAAGAATGCTTTGCCGAAACGCATTGAGACAGAGCTTTTTAATGACTCAATACAGAATAAATAACTTGTTCTACTTTCTACATCCTGATACTTTGTCTCTCATTTATAATTTAGACTTATACATTTCAGACCTTGATATCACACTGATGCATTTAGAGGCCATTTCTAGACAGAATTATTTAAGGAGATACAATAATCACTCATCTAATAAATAATATGGAAAAATGTATGTTAGATTATACCTTTTCACATATTATTTTCTTACCTATAGCTAAAGAGAAAAGCTGGACTGTAGAAACAAAAAGCAGCAATACAGCATATTTTCCAAATTCCTGATAGATGCAAGTGAAGCATTATCTTCAGTCAGTTCTAGCACTGGGCATAATCTGTTCACTTCTTTTATGAAAGAAACAGCCAATTAAGTTTATGTCAACATCAAGTAGAAATCAGTAAAACCAGATTATAGGAAACCACAGTTTAAGACCCAAAGGCAGCATAATATTTTAAAGTGAAGGATACAATCTTAGAAACATTTGTTTGGGAGTAAATCCCATTGTTAAGCATCCTGAGTATTACTGTTCTAATAAACATAATGGAAAACTTGGGTTTGGGGTTATTGGGTAGAATCCATTTTCAAACACTGAACCTGGTTTCCCTTAAAATCAACAAACATCAATTCATAACTAAGTTGTCTCAGTGACTTAAGTGGGGCCAAATGTTTCCTCTAAATTATGCATGCACACAGAGCTCCAGTGCTGCTGTGCAGTGACAGCTGGTGTTGATGCCCATTTACCTCTGGGTTTCGGATGAAACTCCGCCCCCTGTACACACACAGGGCAAGCCCTGTGCAGTGGGTATGAAAATTAACATTGGTGGGGCCTATGTTCAACTATCTTACTCTGGATCCAAGCCACTGTACACTGACATTGGTTGTAAAAATTGTAACTTGAACATCTGAGTACTGTGTTTTAATAAGGATCTCTTCACATTTGTTTGGAAGAGCAGGCCACTCAGTGTAGCGGAACTGTTATGTGAAACACTCTTTCCTGATTTCAGGCATGATCTACCAATTTTTATTTTAAGATACAAGTTCTCTGTTTTTACAAGTATAACTCATATAGTCCAGTCTACTAGCTATGTTCTAAATAATGAAAAATTGACCTAGATCCAACTGATACTCCCAACCAGAGTAGATATACTGAATCAACTACAGCAGGGGTCCCCAACCTGCGGTCCACAGCCCTACCGGCCCGTGGCTGCACCAGGCTACTGAGGCAGATCTGCCACCACATGCATGCCCCCATGTATGCATGGACACCACTCCCACCCATGCATGGACGCATGCATGCTCTGCCCATGGATGCACATATGCACATGTGCCTCCTCACGTACACACATGGATGCACGCCATGCCCATGGATGCACGGATGCATGTATGCTCCGCCCATGCATGCATGGATGCACGCCCCACCCATGTACACAGGGACACCCCACCCCCACACACATGGACACACACACACACCGCCCGCCCACCCCTGTTGAACTGGTCTATGGCTCAAAAAAGTTTGGGGACCACTGAACTACAGGATGGTGAATCAACACTTACGTAAATCAACTGATAACCTATATGAGTATAAACTAGATGGATGAAGTATATAATAAATGCAAATAAGTCAGAAAAGTTTTGGGGGCCACAGATTGCACCATATTTCTTGTTTGTTTTCAGGATGGAAGGCTAGAGGGAAATCATCCTTTTGGCTTCTCGCCATACTGGAATTGAGTTAAGACTAAAACTATGGGAAGACTCAATGACTTTCTAGGCCCCTTCCAATTACAATATTCTATTATTCTATGGTGACTTCATTTGACTCTGCACTCTCTCTACATCCACCACCATTAACTTCCATGCTGCTCCAAAGGGCCCTCTAGAACAGCACCAGTGGAACTCTGCTAAGCACAAATATGAGTGGAACCCATTAAACATTATAAACCACAACAAATACGAATGAATTACAGCCCAATCTATTGAAAAAATAGTTTCAATGAGTTAAACAGAATTTACTGCACATACACATATGGCTAAGAATAGAGAAGCATTTTTGCAAGCGTCATGCAGATAATTGGTTCTCTCGTTCTCAAATTATATGCTAAAATTAAGACCATCTACAAAGACATATCAATTTGCATGAAATTGGAAACCACAAAGTAAGTATTTGTGGGTAGCTAATCAAGAGAAGAAAGAAAAATTATTCATCCTAGCATACATCCAAGATTAATCTCCTTT